ATGCCCCAAAGATATATAGTCCCAGTTTCTTGTTTCAAATGATAAAATCAGACCAAGGTGAATTGATGTGAGTTAAATTAACTACAAGATTAAGTCCTCATTTACTATGCTGATGATCTTATTCTATATTCCTCAGATCTACAGGCCTCTAGAAAAATTTTCTTTATCTGTTCAACCAACTTGAGTTAAAAGAACAAGAAGTCTCTTAGCAAAAACTTTGATTTTCAGCCTGAAGTAAAATATTAATGACATATCACTCTGGAAGATAAATTTTCAATAAAACTGCATCAAATTCATTCTCTCCTTTCCCAAGCCAGCATCCAAATAAGAGGTAAACAATGAAACTACTCTATGGATTTAGGGATTTTGCTCATTACTGTAGAAATTAGCCCTCAACTTTTCCCTTCATAGATCAACTTTTGTCTGCCTTCGTAAAGGCTGATCAACCTGACAAAAAATAAATAAAAATAAATTTAAAAAAATAAAAAATAATAAAACACCATACAAACGCAGAAAATTAGCTATCATAACAGAAAATACTGAAAATGTATCTTCTTTTAGGCATCTCCATCAAAATGATCCTTCTCATTATGTACACATGAATATAAAGAAAGTATCCTAGGGTTCTAATTCAGAAATGAACATCAGAACAGGCCCTACAGAATATTACAGTCAGCAATTAGATAAGCTAGAGGGAAGCATCCATTCCTGAGAGCTATTAGTATTTTTCAAAAATATATTTCAGCTATGGTTATGCTTTACAGGTTAGTTGAGGAATTATTAAGGTTTCTTCTCTCATCATCTTTGTGCTCTGCTCATTTGAAGCACTCCTAAAAAAATCCCATTACATTCAGTACTTCTCTGTCAATAAACTTGCTTCTTATAAAATTATACATCTACCTTCTCCTTATATTACTATGTCTCATAATAATTCTAATTCTCTATCTTTTTTACCACTACTATCTGACAAAACTCCATGTGACTGTGTAATTTTCACTGACTACATTCATTCACCTAAAATGGATTTATAGAAGACTCTTTCTGAAAATGCTGATGTGACCTGTTTTACCAGAGAGGTCTTTGAAAAGTAAAACATGATTAAACTGGGCTGAATATAAACTTATGTCCTTGAAAAAAATCATGAAGACAAATTTGCATTTAAATATTAAGTCATGACAGCAAACAGCATCTTCTCGGTGTTCCAACCAGCAAAAAACAAAACACCAAACATACTTTAAAAACAGTAAGTCTTCTTAACCTCTTCAAAAAAACTAATCAAGAATAGTCAACAGATCTTAGAACATGGCTACTTAGAAGCTTCATCTCTGGCTACTATAAAAATTATAAGATATCTATATCCCAGAATTCAGTCAGGAAGATTGAACCACAACAGAAGATGGATTAAGTACATGATGCTGAACTGGTGAAACAGCATTCTATGACTTGACTAAAATATTGCTGCTTTTGTTCCAGGCTTTGTTGTCCACTTTTTAGGATTTTTGTGCTCTCTTGAGCTGTCAATAGGTTCATGTAACTACTATTTGAACAGAATATTAACCTGTTTCTAGGCTTTAACTTTCAAATAAATTTCCTTACCAGTTCAAAACTGCCTTTCCTGAAATTACCAGCTGAACGTGCTATTGAAAGTAGTTAGATTACTTATGAAACTGTGCGATCTATGCAGTTTACTCTAGAAGGGAAACCACACTTAATATGATGTGACGATGCTTAGGGGATTAATATGAATTAATTAATTAAAAAAATTTCAGGAGAAAAAAGAAACATAAAAATTTTTTATTGAAATTAAAATAAATGCATATTTGATGACTGCAGTAAGCTATATAGCCCCAGCTAGGTGCTACGTTATAGTAGGCTCATTCTACACTATGAGGTTTATACCTAAAGTCAGACTTGTGTTCATGTATATGTACATATCAGCTGCACTAGTTATTGGAAATATTTAGACTAATTAGGTTCATTACAGAATCAATTTGATGGGAGAACAGGCATAGAATGCAACCATGGATACCAGAGACAATGGAGGAGGAGGGTGGGACATGGCAGAGCAGGAGGGATAGGGAATCAAGGAGGGCAAAAAAAAGCAAAACATACAGAAATTAAGAAATGGAAAATTATTTGTTGATAACACGTATGTTGATGCGCTTGACTGAGCCAATATATAATGTATTATGGATGAGAAATCTCATTTTGTATACTGTAATGATGTATAGTGAATGAATGTAAGTAAATAAATTTAAATAAAAAAATTAAACACCCCTGACAGTAAGAAGAATCAATCTGCAGACCTCCCACCAGACCTCGGATAAAAACTTTCCTCCCAGCCCAGACAGTGTACCTGCCTTCTTGCAAGTCCAAATTATGTGCCAGCGTTCTACCTTGTCATGGCCAGAGCATCTTGCACCTACACCACTTCAATTACTTTCTCATGCCAGCTCAGCCCCTAACAAAGTACCCTGGCTCAACCCAAGCTGGATCTGGACAAGATATATTGGATAAATGAATGAGACTATGGAGATTGGCTGAGTAGAGAGAATGCCACCCCTCTCTCTAGAGCCCACAAGTACCCAAAACATAGCAACTACCCAAGAGTAGACCCCACAGAGAGTAATCAACCTTGACTATGGAGGAGCAGGAGATAATTCCTGAGAACTTTTAGATGGTATGGCTTCTACATACAAAAGCAGAGAAAAGCCAACTGCTTAGATCCAATCAAGTGCTGGGGGACTTCTCCCTCCACCATTTCCCTTCTGAAATAGGAAAACTCTTCAAAACTCCTAAAGTCATACCACTGCCATAGATTCCAGTAGACAAGTTTCATGTATAAAAGAACAGGGAAAGTGGTGCCGAATTAACACACATTTCAGGGAAGCACAAGCACGATCCATTTCATGGGGAGGAAAAAAGTTGGTCACACCACCTCAATCCACTCCAAGCTGACAAGAGAGCTACACTCGTATATGCTAATGACCAGGGGGAACTCCCTCTATAATACAATCAAGTTTCCACAGTCTGAGGTAAGGAGCAAAGAACCCTCACCCCAAATTGAGGGATTTGAAAATTGCTATCCATCTGGCACAGAAGGCAACTTACACTCTCCTACCATCAGTCTAAAGTCCAGGGTAAGAGTTCCTTGAGCCAATTAATAAACTCAAACAGAGACCTTTTAGACCTTACTAAACTGTATCAAGTACAGGCTACACACATCCTTGCTCTGATGTGGATGACATGGCTGTTTGCCAGGGACACATCTGAGACCTATAGCTATACTTCCTTCCAGGTATTATGGAAACCTAGTATAAAAATTAAAAAGAAATGATTAATTCAACAGATGCCTAAGAACCAGGGCAGAGACACAATTAATAGGGTAAAACAAGGCAAAGTCTCTCACACATAAGAACAAAGTAACTCCTCACCAATGAACAACACAGAAGAATTCACAGGTAAGTCAGGAAAAGAATTCAGAATTTTCATTGTGACAACACTCAAGGAAATGCAAGAGAAAACAAACAATTCCAAGATATGAGAAAAGTCATTACACAACATGAAGGAAAATTTCATACAGAAACACCCTACAAGGAAACCAAACAGAAGTTCTGCAGATAAAAGACACAAGAAATTGAATTCTCCTTCAAAAGCAGATTAGACCATGTAGGAGAAAGAGTCTTTGACCTGGAAGACAAAGTCCCCGACGGCTCAAATCACCAAAATGAATGGAAAAATAAATAAATAAGTAGAAAGAAACACGTGGGAAATACTAAAACAGAAGGTAAGGGCACAGAAAATCTCTTTCAAGAAATATTTATCATATAACTTTCCAGTGACAGCATGTGGCATAGTGTTTAAGGCTTTGCAGTTCCTTATGGCTGACTGCAGTTAAAGACTTGTACCTGGTGACTTGAAACTCACACTGGATGCATGTGCTTGTGGGCCCAAAATTCCAAGAGGAAAAGGGATTGTGGTGGCCATCCCCCTGGAGAGTAGTTTCTTTCTTTCCCTCTCTCTCATTTTCTGTGTTTCTCTTGAGCACATGCACCCTATATCAAAAATCTGTTAAAACAAAAAGGGATGAGTAGATAGAAGAATGGTTACATCAATGATAGTTGACCATGGTTCGAGTCCTGGAAACAATGGCTTCCAAATCATGTTGGGCATGAGTATGTGCATGCCCAAATCTCAAGAGGATAATGGCTTAGGAGTGACCATCCATCCATGAGAGTGATTCCTCGCATTATGTCTGTCTCTGTCTCTCCAGGGGGCATATGGACCCTGTAGCAAAAATAACTCAAAAAAAGAAAATAAAAACTTTCCAAACACACATAGAAAAACACCCAGATCCAGAAAATATAAATAATTTGGAAATATCAAAAAGAGATGACTGGAGACCAGCAGTTAGTGTAATTGCTGTCACTGGACTCCCACGTATTCAACTGCGGTTCATGTCCCAGATCCACTGACTTAAAATCACGCCAGGTGCATGTGCACTGTGTGCCCTAGATACAGAGAGGAGAAAGAAGGAAAAGTGATTGTGGCATGTCCATCCCCCCAGGTGGTAATTTCTCACTTTCTGTCTCTCTGTCTCTCTAGGTCCTCGTGAGCATACATGCCCTATAGGAAAAAGCTCTCAAAAAAAAAAAAAAAAAGGCTTTTACAACTGAAATGAAGTGAGCTCTCCTTTCTCTCTCATTGCCACTAACTAGCCCTAGGTGAGGGACCTCCTCAATGCTAGATAGCCAGGCTAGTGGTAAGACCCTGGAGTTACAAAGACCTCCTTTATTGGTTTCCTACACTCTGGAAAGAACTTGAGATGGCCTGAGCAAGTGCATTTCTGAGAATGTCACATGAGAATTTATTTCCTGCCCATCCCAGCCAGAGTCAACTTCTGAGGCTCAAAGTCCCCCATCAGAGGCCTTTTGTCACAGACAGCCGATGAGCCCCACTCCAGGAGTGAAGCAAGCAGTAAAGAGGTAGCCTGCACATACCTTGTTCATTGTCACTGCATTTGAAAGACTCTTCCAACAAGCTTCTATTGTCTTTGGACTCTGCCCTTTTCCTGCTCAGTTTCTTTCTGGTAATGTTATCCCCCTTGGCAGTGCCCTCAGGTTGAACTGCCTGGCTTACTTGCTTCTTGCTCTTCCAGTCAGGTTTGTTCTCTGCTGCTGACACCTGCTGTTCCCACTGTTCTCTAAGGTGCCCGAAGTTGCGTTGCTTTTTTGGATGTGGCCCTGTTGATTGAGGGTGCATCTTTAAGTTGGTCAGCTCATTATAATATGGGTCTTTAAGTGGTTCAATGAATTATCACTCCCTCCAAGGATGTTAAGAAGCTGTTCCAAATCACTAATAGGGTAGGGAAGTGTGCCCAGCAGTCACACTCTCTTCTTGAGTTTTTCACACCATTTTAGGAGGGGTCTATGAGAGTTTAGCCATTTCTCCAGGTTCAGCACTTACATCTGAAGTTGTGGGGAAGAGGAGAGTGGAGTGGTCCTGAGTGGAATCCCTGAATTTTCAAGAGGGTAATAGATAAGCTTCACTGCTGTGTCTGTAGTACGTCCACATCTCCTGTTCACCCACAATGGCCACTGGCACTTGCCTACCCCGAAGATACCTGAAGCCAACCAAGTAAATTACCTTTAGAATTCCGTGGTTTGGTTTTCAGCAGATGGCCCTCTGACAGCTCTTCCATGATGTTCTCAATGTTATTACCATCACCTGATACGTGGAAACACGTTTGTTTCTATCACTCACTCTTCTCCCCTAGAGCAAGAAGAAAACAAGAGTATGAAGAATACATGACTGAAGGCAAGATTTGAAGATCAGGTTGGATTAGCTGTCCCCTAGGTTATTTGCTACAGACAAAATCTCTCTTGAAAATCAGGATAATTCCTCACTGAAAGTACAGGATCCTCAGAAATAGATCTTCTCAGGAACCAGTAGTTAGCATAATGGCTATGTCACTGGACTCCCATGTAGTTGACCACGGTTCACGTCCCAGACCTGGTGGCTTAAAACTCACGCCGGGCATGTGTGCATGCGTGCCCAGGATCCTGAGAGGAGAATGGAGGATTATGGTGTGACCATCCCCCCTGGGGGGTGATTTCTCACTTTCTATCTCTATGTCTGTCCTGTTTGTCTGGTGATCACATGCGCCATATAGTGAAAATCTCTCAAAAAAAAAAAAAAAAAGAAAGATATTCTATACCCAGTAATAGTAAATCTGAGATGTTTAGTCGCTTGAATTACATGAGAGCCCAAGGTTTGAATTCTAGTACAGTTTGAAGGCTGGGGACCATGGCATACATTGGTTATCCCAGAGATTTGGAAAGGCTAGGCCAGAGGATCAAGATAATGAGATACTGTCTTAAAAAATAAATCAAAGATGCCAAAGGAAGAAAACACTGTGAATAAAAACAAATGTAACAAACAAACCAACAAACAACACACTGAGGGCAATCAGCCCCTAAAGCAAAAAGTGCCTTTCTCAGGACACTTCAAAAATCACTCCTGCTCTTTCCTAGGCCTACTTATCCCATCATTTACCTTCCCTTGGGGACATTCCCACATTTAGCAACATTTATCTTTAGGCCTAAGCTTCATTCTGACTTTGGCTACCATTGCTCCAAACATTCAACAACTCCAAGAGAGTTCAAAAGCAGAATAGATGTGACTGCTGCTTTCACCCTCACAAAAGGTGGCAGAACCCTCAACCTCACTCACAGTGGTGGACTAGAAGAAGCACCCTCCAGGGGATACCATCCCAAGTCTCTGAAAGCACATTTGGAATTGTATGAACACTTCATAACATAGCCAAGGTGGATCTTCTGTCATGGCAGAGACAGGCTGCCCTAATCTCTGTTCCATGTAGCAGATTAATATGACTGCTCCTTGGCTCAAGGCCAAAAAAGACAGACTGTGAATCTCCCATTCACTCTGGTCTCTCAACTCTTAACACTTCTTGCAGTTATCCTTGTTTTATTTTGCTTTCTCTTTTTAAAAATTTTAATTTACATTTTCTCATATCTTTACAGTACACATTTTTTTCCAACATAAATACAATGCATGTCAATTAAGACAAGGATACTACTATATACATTATCATCATCACATAGCTTTTCATTTTTTTGTCAATTAAGCATACTTTTACCTGTTTTTTTCCTTTTCTTTTCCCTTCCCTCTCTTCCATACTAAACTTTCCCTCCCACATTTTATTGATACAAAATATCTTAAAGTATAGAGAAAGCTAGAATCTAGTAGAAAGTACACTATAATTTTCTTCTGAAACAATTTTTTTCCTCTTTACATTCCTTTTACTAAACAGATGTATAAACTAACTGATTTTGAAAAAAAAATTAGGTTAATTACTATTTGGTCTGTTATTTGCACATAGCCGCATAAGAATTCAATTCCTGATGCAACTTAACAGATACTATGGTATTATGAATTTATGCAAATAACCATTCTGCCACAAGATAAGAATGCTCACAAACATTTTTCAATTTCAAAGAAAAGGAAGGGAGAAAACTTAATATTTCAATTTAAACAAACAAACAAACAATCTCCTTTTTTAAAGGGGAATGCTAGGCCCACCTCAGATTCACATTAATTCTGGTTTTTTGCTAGGTGTTGGGATAGAAGGCTTCTCGCCATAATCTTTACTCAGTTTACTTCGATTGTGAAGTTGGAACATACTACAACTTCTGGTATACACTTTATAAACCAACTGAGTGGATTAAAAGGAGTAAACCTAGAGAAATTACTCACAAAAGAATTCTAAGACTCTTAGACCAGCTAGAATTGTAGCCCTGATATTTATGACTTTTGAATATATAAATCCTCCACTCACACTATTTGAGTCTTGTGATTATAACAGCCTTCTCTGAAAGTGATATGACATGGACATGTGACAACTACATTAGTGAGCTTCAGGTACAACAGCTTTTAAAATATACTCACTCCCCCTATCATACACATACAGGCTTTAGATAGGAAAGACGGAGTAAGCCATGTGATTTTCCTTTCAAGATGATACTGCAGTGTCCAAGGGACCCTGCACAGAAAGAACATCCCTGCTCTGTTCCCTTTCTCATAACATATTCCTTACTCCTCAATTAGACTAGGAATATTCCAAGGTCACATCTTACATTTGAACATTATATCTCATGTAATAGCCTATATGTGTGACTGTATGAATGCTGTCTAGCATCTTTCTCAGAAAAATGTTTTTCACTGAAGTTTTTTTCCTCATTGCAAACTTCCTCCTGAGGCAGGGGTTTTACCACTATAAAGAGAAGAAGTTCATCCACATTCAGAGAGGATATGTTCCTCCTCGTTTCTCCCAGCTCCAACGAGTTCAGGCTTTTAGGTGATCATGGCTCTTCCTATAAGGTCATTGTATAAAACAGCCTAAGACTATATAAGGGCTTGCTTTCAACAGGACCAACTCAGATGGTTTGTAAATTGAACCCATTCCACATTCAATATGATCTAGCAATCCCACTTCTGGGTATACAGCCAAATGAAGTGAAATGACTATATTAAAGACATATCTACACTCCCATATTCATTTCAGGATCTGTCCCAGTAACTAATATGCAATCAATACACAGATGAACAATTGTTCAAGTGTGGTATGTATACAAAATGAAATATCATTCATTCTCTGAAAGCATGAAATTCTGCCAGTTGTGAAAACAGATGAATCTAAAGGACATTATGCTGTGGAGTTATGTCAAGCACAGAAAGACAAATACCATTTCCTCTGTCTCTGCCAGCTGTCTCTACCAGTCAGCTGTCCAATACCAGAAAGGCTAATGATCCTATAGATTATTTAAATTACATGTAAAATCTAATACAGTTGAACTCACAGAAGTGGAGAGTAGAATGATGGTTACCAGAGACTGGAGTGAGGGTAGGAAAGGATGGGAAGTTATTTATCAAAGGCATGAAGCTGCAGATAGAAATAAGATCTATGTCTGAAATCCACTGTACAGGAGAGTGACTGTCCATAACATATTGTATGTCTCACAATAGCAAGGTATATTTAAAATGTCTCTTCACACATATGCAAAAATAATAGGTAAGTATGATGATAGGTTTGAGCTAAATGAGATTGATTTACATCACACTTTATCCCATATATAATTATAATTATTGATAAAAAATAATAACTTTTAAATTCCTTAGACAAATAATAAAAATGAACAAGGCGGTATAATTTCTTACCCTATTTTCTCCCTAGGTTGTTACAAAGGCAATACAAAATGACAAAAATCAACCAAAAGTCTATTAAAGTTCTAAACCTAAGACTATAAACGATAAAACTATGGTGGGAAACCTTGAGAAAACTCTGGGAGACATTGGGGTAGGCAAAGACTTCCAAAATAAGACCCTCAAAGCACAGTCAATAATCTAAAAAATAAACAAGTGGAATTACAACATATTAAGAAGTTTTTGCAAGACAAAGTTCTCACTAATTAGTTTGAATCAATAGTCCTTGGAAGGGGAAAGTATTTTTATAAACTATACTTCAGCTAATGGACTGGTAATGATAATACACAGGGAACTCAAGCAGTTTTCCTGAAAAAAAAAATGATCGACCCAATAAAAAAATGGGTGAGTGAGCTTATAAAACAACTCTCTAAGGGAGACATACAAATATGCCAAAAGACATATAAACAATGCTCAACATCCTTCACCATAAGGGAGATGTAGATCAAAACCACAATGATATACTACCTAACCCCTCTCAGAATGAATAAGATTTTAGAAAAATGATAAGTACTGGCAGTAACGAGGTGAAAGGGGTACTCTCCTACACTGCCGGCGGGAATGTAAATTGGTCCAGTCATTGTGGAGAACAATATGGGGATTCCTTAAATATACACAAATAGAACTATTATATGATCCACCAATCCCACTCCTTGGTATTTACCTGAAGGACAGAACAATGCTTAGTCAGTAAAGTGTTTGCATGTCTGTTTATTATGGCATTATTCACAATTGCTAAGACATAAAACCAACCCAAACGTCCAAGAACTGAGGAATGGATTCAAAAAGTGTGTCACATATACTCTAAGGAATATTATTCAGGCATTTAAAACAAGACTCTGACTTCTGACACAAAGTGGATGAAAATGTAATATTTACTGCTCAGTGAAGTCAGTCAGGTTATGAAGACATTGAGTGTCTCCACTCAATATATACCAACTGTCTACACTCTACGGCAGAAACTGAATAACTAGAAGATACAGAAAAATAATAAGTGGTTATAGATAACAGATACAGTGTGGAAAGAGAGTGGGAGAAGTAGAAGAGTCTCAGGAAATACATTAGAGATAAAAATAGGCAAAGCACTTATTAGACAAAGAAATGTGTTATTATCTGTTGATGCTAACGTGTATAGAATCCCAGTTGGACTAGTGAGAAATGTATTCATGTTGCAACATTCACTTTACAAGCTAAGTGACATCTGTGATTGAATATATAAAAGAAATACAATAAAATTTTAAAATTAAAAAATTACAGAAGATGATTTTCAAAAGAAGACATTCTGAAGAATATTGCAAATAACTTATGAATATAAAACAAAACTATAGACAGGGCTGCCAGGTGTCATGGTGAAGGGCACTGGACTCCCACATGGCTGATGATAGAGGTGTGCTCTCTCTCTCTCTCTCTCTCTCTCTCTCTCTCTCTCTCTCCTGGACCTGGTGGTTTTTTTCTTCTCTCTCTCTCCCCATCTCTGGTCAAGT